TGTGTGTGTGTGTGTGTGTCCTCTCTCAGATAGAAACCTGTGTGTTGAGAGAAGAGGAGGTGGGAGGAGGCGCTCCTGCAGGTTTCCTCTCTGGAATAGTGATGAAGGAGAAAACTGAAGAGGCTGGAAACGTGTGCACACATGTTCACTGCGTGTTTGTTGTAACACGCAACAGCTGCTTCTTGGAACTCTGTGTGTGTGTTCCTGTACTTACATGTTTGTGAGGACCTACAGTTTGACCTGTCCTCCATATTACAGAGGACAGTTTGAGAGGTGGAGACGGTTGTAGGGTTAGAACCAGGTTAGAACCAGGTTAGAACCAGGTTAGAACCAGGTTAGAGGTGGAGTGAGGCTCAGGTTTAGATTAGTTAGTTTGGATAGTTAAGGTTGGGGGAGGGGTCAGTGAACGTGTTATCACTGAGTGTCCTCACTGAGACAGAAGCACAAACATGTGTGTTGAGTTTCTGAGAACTGTGCAGATACTAAAGATGAGAGACAAATTGAAGACACGTCTCTGTCCCAGCTGCTCAATGTTGTTTATTATTAGACGGCGCCATCTAGTGGACAGAAGTAGAACAAACAGCATCCTGTTGAAGTTTCACATGAGGTCGAGGTGACGACACAGATTAGATCCTAAAATGTGTTCATGTGGATCGTACTGTATTTCTGTTTGACATAACTTCACACTGGGACATGTAATTTAAAAGATTTAATTCCTCCAGACTCAACTATCTCTATAACCAATGTACACACACACACATATATATATATATATATATATATATATGTGTGTGTGTGTGTGTTCTTTTTTCTAATAACTTCCATTCACCTTCCCTGACACAGCTCGGGTCTTGTCTTCAGTGTTTTTAACTGGAGCAAACATCTGGATCTATATTAAACACATCTGGACTGACTCTGGTTCAGAGTCTGTGGATCAGTTGGAATCATTCTTACTTTTCTTTAACGCAGGATGTTTGATTTTGGTCTTTTAGTTTGTGTGATACAGGATCAGGACTCGATTTAATTCATATTTTCTCTTTAAAGTCCAGAATCACTTCGATTGTTTTAAGAATGAGAAGTTGCTTCTTGAACAGAGAGTATGAATTAACTTCAGACTTTTATTTAAATGTACATATATACAAATACACACA